TTACTCACAGCAAGTGCTTTAACCAAGATGTTCTCTTTTTGAGCAGGGAGCTGTAACATATACCTGAATATACTGTGTGGCCGACCCTATGCCTGGGGTGGGTTATGTGAAATTGTCCTTAAAAATAGCTACCATAAATGCTGCAGAAAGTACAAGAGAGGGGAGACTTATGTCATAAAATAAACTTTGCCATAGGCTTTATTGAGATATAATGGTGAAAGTGTAGAACCATAAACTAAGTGTAGAAGTAAGTGTGGATGTTGAATGATGTTGAATTAAACAGATATATTGTTTATTGCTTTATTTTTAMTGGGACAAGCAAAAGCCGAAGAGCAGTGGTCTCAGGGAGGAAACAAGGAAAGCAGAACAGCAACACAATTTGCAGGAAGCTTTGGCTGTTCCATTACTGAAATCTTTCTTGAGGAAATTTCTTGAGCAAAACAGCGCAAGAGACTGCACTGAGCCCGGTCTATGCGCTCTTTGCTTCTGGGAGCTCTGCTGTAACAAACTGGCTTCCCAAAAGTCTTGGTGATTGTGAACGTAACCCTGGCCACTTTTCAGATGCAGTAAAACTGTTGTGTGCTTAGTGCAAGTCTGTTTATTTTTAGAGGTAAAACTCYGTCTCTGCTGAGGCGAGCGGAGTTGGGCACGGTTCCATCGCAGGTGTTTTACTGAGGACTTAATCTCCACTCTGCTCTGGTGTAACAGAGAGCAAACGCTTGCTCCTGGCGCTGGCTTAAATGAAGTAACAGTTTAAAGGCAGTCAGCTGAGCTGTGGTAATAAAAGAAACCTTGGAGTTCTTTCAGGCCACACTGTCTCCTTATTCTCACATTGTCTTGAGGCTTTAGAATTTCAGTTCAGGTTAATTGAATGAGACAGTGATACATTGCACAGTGAAACCAGATCAATCACGGAGTGAGTCAGAATAGAAGTGGCGATGACACTCGGAACAAGAGCTTGGGAAATGTGATATTTACATTAAAATATTTTACATTTTTCTGTCATGATTTTAAAGGCTAATTTGAAAAGACCTTACCACATAGAATAATGAATTTCTGTCTGCTTATCTGTATGTATGTGTGTATGTATGTGCTTGGACAGTAACACTGAATTGCTATAAAATCAGATTTAATAATAGGGTATTTTTTACACAGCTAAGCAGCTTAATTTACAGAAGAGTTCAAACAGAAAAATTTACATCAGATAAACTTGTTCTTTTCTCTGAGAGAAGTCATATGACAGCTAGCTGAATATAAAGCTGTAGGAGCATTTCCTGTAATATTAAATGGCAACAGACAATTTGGCTGTTGCCTTTTCTATCTTCCTTCCCTTTAAATATTTAACTGGATGCTGATTTTCAACTCCTAGAACAGCTTGCATGTAAAACTTGTCATTGCTATTCACTTATGTTAACTGTATTTGCATGGAAAATAAGAGATAGTTCCTCTTAAAACAGGTAACTAAAAACAAAGACTTAATTTTATATGGATGACATGGGCACTGTAAAAATAACAAAGCTTTAAGGAGTGTTTCCAGGTTTGCAAACTCTTAGCTCTCAGTATCTAAATCCTCAGGGTTTTCAGGAAGTCAGAGGGCCTTATTTTCATGTCAATATTTAAATCAGTGATGCAGGGAAAAAAAGAAAAAAAAAAAAAAAAACCCTATCCTCCAGGAATAAAAAACATGAAAACAGGAATAGCGGGCAAGTTTATATGCAGCAGCAGCAGCTGGCTTTCAAGAACTTTAAAAAATATATTTCAGAGTCTTCAATCTGTGTTTTCTCTACTGGGACTTTGCCTCTTCTTTCTTTGCTTTCTGATCTACTTGTACCTCTAGAAAGCGAAGCTCTGATGCTGGAAAATCAGTGTGCAGTACAGAAGGGTACACAGGGCTGGCTCTTCTTTTTGTCTTACCTTTTTTATTTTTTTTTTTCTGGAAGACCATCAAATACAACTCTGGTTTCAGTGAAGGACTTGAATAACATAAGCAAGCAGTCATTCTGTTCCAAGGGGAGCTTTTTTTTAATATTCTTATTTTATTGTAATTACCTTATTGTTTTCATATTATGAGCTACTTGTAGAAAAATACAGGAAGCATGACTGCAATACAATCCTTTAATCAGGAATAGCTTTGTTCCAGTCATCATTTCCATTCAGTGTTGAAGCTTCAACTAAGAATAATACAATAAAAACCTTGTAATATTGTGTTAATATTAAGGTATGTGATATAGCCATTTTGTTTCTGTACTTAGTAATTTCTAAGTAAGAGGTCCTTTTAAAAAAGTGCACAGGAGACGTTTTGTCCATAATGCTGTTTTTAAGTAAATCTTACAAAAAGTAGTGTTTCTCAAAAGTATATAAACTTCTTTAGGAGGGCTCTTTAAAATCTCTTAACCAGAGTCAGATGGGGAACTTGTATTATCATATATATTAAATCTTTTCTTCTTTTTTCTCTCTTTTTTTTTTTTTGCTAGCAGATTATGCCATAATACCTTTACTACATCATTGTTAAAGCATGTGAACTTTTTAAGAAAAAAAAAAAGAAGTTGTATTTTTATACTTAAATGGCTTTAATACACTAGCTGTTTGTGTTATCTTTATGTATAATCCAGCACTGCAAATAATTCTACCAATTTGGAATCTTCCCCCAACCTTATTTTGGCCTGTTCAGCAGCTGAGTGTTTATGTTTTTGAATGAAGGACTGGAATTAAGTAAAGTATTTTTTTAGATAAACTACTTTAACAAAAAGCATTTGTCTAAGAAAGTTAAAAGACTGCTCCCAAGCTGTTTGAAAGCAGAATGCAGCCACATACAACAGGCGACAGCAATTCATTCTGTTCCATTTTTCTAAATGTCCAGTAGTCTAGATAGGCTCAGTTCRAAAACTGTTGTTACACAGGATATAATGTATACACAGAATTTATAAAAATGAATCTTCTAGGGTTTATGATATGCCTTTTATGAATAAAAACTAGATATTATTAAAACACTTAACTGCTAGCTAATGGTTCAAATTAGAACAGAATAGAGGACAATTGTTTTTCTACCGACTTCTTATTTTAAGATGGATTTCCTTGTTTCGAGGCATATATATATATATATATATATATATATATACACACGTATATAATGTAAATTAAACTGAGCTGCAGATAAAAGGCATGCCTCCATGTGTACACCAGGGCCTGATCCAGATTGCATCCAAGTCAGTGGGAGCCTTCCCCTTTGCAAGCCAGATTTTGCAATCCGTATTGACACGACCCTCCAGGGGATCCCTSGAGCTGATGCGGTTTTGCATGACTTGGCCTCAAACGCCTGCTGCAGTTTCTAAAAGCCCATTACAGCACTGCAGTAGGAAACCATTTAGTCTAATTTAAGGAAATCGCAGGATTTTCATTTTCATATCATTTTGTTCCAATCTGTGTGCTTACTCCTGTCTGGAGGGAAACGCTGGTCGCGTAAAGGTGGAGCCCTCTGAAATGCTGCCTGGGACGGGCTCTGCACACAYGTTTGTCCCATATCCCCTTCACAGGAGCCGCATCTCCCGTGCTCCTGGCTGCCCCGCTCTGTAGTCTGGCACGATTTTAAAGCAGGACGTGCTGCRTTTTGCTGCATGCACACGAAGAGGTCATTGGGAAGCCAACACGAGCTGGACCGCTCRCGAGATACCATCCCAAAAAGTGTGTGGTGCGTGCAGCAGCGCGGTTACAAACCCTAACTGGCTGCGAAATGCTCGTGAGCCCCGCCGGTGGCCAGCGAGTGAAAGAGGGAGACGTTTTTCTAGGAAACTCTGCTGTGTTACCACCATAAAGTGAAATGCAGGAGCAGAGCTCTGAGCCTTAGATTTCTTGCTGTCTCACAATGTTTTTCCTTAACCCTGGACCGGTAAAATTTTAATATTTGCTATTACAGAGCAGCAAAGCTTTTAAAAGGAGCAGATATATTTTATTAGATCATCACATACAGCTGGGRAAAAAAATGCTAACTATTTAAACAGAATACTTGAGTTTCACAGGCAGATTTCAGTGATATTTTAGATAAAAATGCTTACAGAAATGTATGTAAGCAACTGAAGCTAGACCAATATAACTTTTAATACAGACCCAAGAAACATTTCAGCCAGTTTCTTCATTTCACTAGAGATGCATTCAAAGGAGCTTTTTCCCTTGTTTATATTACTTTTCACAGCTGGTTGTGGAACTGTTTGGTGTGGTAAYACTGTAAAGAATATAGAGCAGTAAGGTGAATATGAACAGTGGTTCATATCCTGGTTTCTGTAATGGTTTCAAAGTAATTCTTTTGTACTGAAAAGGTATTTAGACTTTTCTTTCCATGTGGATGCTCAAAATAYTTAAGTGGGGAGAAAAAAAATAAAATGATATAGGCGGAAAAAGCTGGATGTGGTTACCCAGATTCATAACAGTCGTTCAGCATCATGCGCCTGTGATCACGTTTTTATTTGCAGGGGAACGTGTGCCATGTTTGCTCTGTGATCTGCATTATTTAAACAAATGTGGGAAAAAGAAARAAGAAAAAAAAAGGAGGAATTTGAAGCAGCTCAATAGCATGACTAAGGCATATGAGAGTTTACTGTGGAACGCTCCCCACTGCGAGGCTGTAAGAGCAGTCGGCCCCCCCAGCTGCAGACAAGAGCAAAGAGTAACTCCCGAGATGCCCTGGTGACATCGTGCTGCCTCCTGCTGATTTATAGGCAGAGGAGCTCCCACGAAAACTGCATCCATAAAGGAAATATCGAGGCCTCCGAGGATGGCGGGGCCTGAGCGCTGCAGGGAGCGCGTGGGGCCAGTGGGGCCGGTGTGGCCCCCTTGCCGGGCCCGTCGTGCTCTGCACGCAGCGTGCCCAGGCTCTGCCTCGCCGGGAGCTTCTGCCCCAGTTTCGGTGTTGGACCCACTGGTTGTGGCTGGGGGCGCGCAGGGGGCTGGGCCTTGCRCGCCGCAGGACGGCGAGGTGAATGTGTTTGCTCTCTTCTTCTCTGCAGGATTTTCTTCAAGGCGACTGTACCAAAGCGAGGCAAAAGCTCAACTGGAAGCCCAGGGTCACGTTTGATGTGAGTTGCCCCTCGGGCGGGTCCATACCTGCCCTGTGCCCTCGTGTCCTCCCCGAGCACGGCGGGAGGCCGGAGGCGGGAAGGGCGGCCCAGGCCCGCGGAGGGGTTACAGCGGTGGTGACGGTCCCGAGCTGCCGCCGTGTTGAGGACAGCAGTGCGGGGCACTCGCAGCAGCTCCGCTGACCTGATCTGGAAAGGCTCCAGCGGGGATCCATGGTGGGAGCACCGTGCGCTTGGGCTCCCGTGACAGTTTGGGAATTGGAGCTGCGATGGGAAGCAGGGTGGCGGGAAAAGCAGAGCGATGGCCCCAGCCTGGACCATTGAGGGAGGGAGGACATCGCAGGGGTCACCCTCACCCATGTGTCTCTGTGTCCCACAGGAGCTGGTGCGGGAGATGGTGGACGCTGACGTGGAGCTCATGAGGAACAACCCGAACGCCTGAGCCAGGCGCCCCGACCTGACCCGAGCCCCAYGGCGGGATTGGGCCCATCACCCTCCCCGCATTAAAAAGCGGGTTCCCCCCCCCGTGTCCAACGGGCTGGGACTCCTGCCGCTGGGGGCGGTCACCCCATTCCGCCCCTTTTTACCGTACCTGAAGGAGGCATCGGCACTGGTTTCCTTTTGATAATTTAAACCCATCTTTCTATCACCTGGGACCTCCGGCGTGTTTTCAGTTCTTTCTGCCACTGAATGAMAGGGAAACAAAAGCGTGTCCCCGCACCCCGCCCCGCAGCAAACCGCTGGCCTCGCCATTCCCCAGCCCTGGCTTCCCCTCTCCTTCCTTTCCCGAGCACTCCTTGTTTTCCTTTCCTGCAGCTCACCTCCACCCCAGCCGCCCATTCCCACCGCCTGCACTCCGCCAAAGTTTGGATAACTCGATACAGCTTTGCAATGAGATCGCCTTTGACCACGCCGAATTAATTCCTAATTGCTGGAATCGCTTTCAAGCCGGTCAGAGGGGCTTTTAAGCGCTTTGCAGATCTTTCGTCCCGAGTGTGTGTGAGTCGCAGAAAGCCTTTCTGCCCAGCACCCTCCAGATCCAGGGGCTTGGGGGCCTTTTCTCTCTCTCTCTCTCTCTTTTATTTTTTTTTTTCTTCTTTCTCTCTCTGAGAATCCTATTACTATAATGAGAGCTCAGATGGGAGCTTGATCTCTCTCAAAAGATGTCTTAAAAATGGAATATAAATAAATAAATAAATAAACTTTTTTTAAAAATAGAAACGTCAAGGTGAGCAAATATTTTTGCGCTCTTTGTGCCAAGGTGCCCGGGTTTTCCAGAGGTCGCCAAGCCCATACATTTCCCTTTGGTTTCGGATCTTCCACCCGCCGATTACTCCCATCACTTGAGCCGCGCTAAGGGCYTCGCAGCCGAGCGGACCGGCGCGATCCCTCAGACGGGCCGCGGCGGGGGGGATACGCGGGGCTSTTTCTGCCCCGGCGTTTGTTTATTTTTTAATCGCGTATAAGGAACGGGGAGAACGCCTRTAGGGAGACGCCGGGTAGCGCAGTGCGCGCCGCGGGGGCCGTGGCCGCGGGTGCGGAGCGCGCAGGCTCCGAGGGCGCCCACGAGCGCGGCCCGCGCGTGGTGCGGGGGGCGCTGCGGGGCCCGGGGCAGCCTGCGCGGGGCAGGGGGAGATGGGCGAGCGCCGTGGCGGGACGGGCGTGCGGAGCCCCGCGGCCCCCCGCCCCAAAACGGGCCGAGGAGGAAGCAGAGCCGCGCGCGGCTGCAGGTGCACGGAGTGGGGGGAGACAGGGGGCAGGTTTGGGGTGGCAGGAGGGCGCCCCAAGCACAAGTGCCCCGTGACCGCCGCAGCTGCCCCTCCGCGGGCCCGCGSCCCCCCGCAGCCGGCGGCGGCCCCGCGTGGGGACGCGCAGAGTGGGCGGCCTCGCAGGCGCTYCCGGCGAGCGGCCGCCGGGTTAGGGCAGCCCCGGCTCTCCAGAGGCGCACRCAACAATAATACAAAAAATAAAATAAGAATTAAAAAACGAATTAATAAAGCGCTTTTCGCTTTTATGACAAAGTGGTTTTGTATTGCTGGTAACTATTTTTTTTCCTTAAAGTGATTCACTGGGTAGCTCGCTGGTAGGTCTGACTTCACACATGTCTGCAGAGAACTCGGGACCTTTGCACAAGCTGCCAGCTTTTCTTTTCTTTTCCTTTTTTTTTTTTTTTTTTTTTCGTCTCGTCTCTAACGCATTCAAGAGAAGTCGGTTTATTCTCCTTTTTCACCCTATATATTGGAGAGCGGGAGGAGAAGGGCTGGAAAAGGCAGAGATTGTCCACTAGTCCACTCGCAGTGAACGTCTTTTGAATGTCTTTTCGTTTCTTTTTTTTTTTTTTTTTAAGAAAAAAATTATTGGTCATTACAGGACAAAACATGTGGATTTTTTATTTGTTTGTTCGTTTAATTAGGCAAAAGTCTGGACCACTTTTCGTTCTCGCAAATTATTTTCAATTCTTCCTTATTTGCTACTCTTTGCAACGACCCCCGAATCGCTCCTCACAAACACAAGCGCGGCGACCTGCGCGGGTGGCGTGTGCGCAGCTAACAGCCCGGCTGCGCGCTGCGGACCCGGCACATGCACTCACAGCAYGAATTTGGTGCGCTCAGGGGACAGAAAGACAACATCCCCCCTTCCTCCCATCCTGCATTTGCCCGGCTCGTCCCCGGTCTTTGCAGCTCCGTTAATTTAAGAGGGTAGTAAAATAACCGCGCAGGTCCCGCCTGAGCGCGCAGCGCGGCGCTCCCTCCGGGCCTGCCTGGCCAGGGGCAGTCCTGCCACGAAAGCTTCGCTTTCTTTCCACTTTTTCTTTTTTCTTTTTTTTTTTTTTTTCCATCTCTCGAGGCCCTTCAGGGGCGCTCGAAAGTACCGAGCACTCAGCGGCTGCCGGAGACCCGGCGGGCGCCGGCGCGGGGCCCTGGCGGGGCCCGGGGGCAGCGGGGCCCGAGCGGGGCCTCCCGCGGCCTCAAAGCGCCCCCCTGCCCGCGCCCCAGACCCGCGGGGACGACCTGGAGCAGCTGACACTGCGCGGAGATRGAAACGGGGCTCGAAGGGTCTCCGCGGCCTGCGCTGCCGCGCGGAGACACCGCTCGCTTGCTGGGAAAGAAAAACGTGGTTTTTTTAATATATGATTTTTGCTTCCAAGCGCAACTTTGGGGGAGCACCCGCGCCTGCCGCGCGCACGACGGGCGGACATGAAGGTCACATCCTCTTCCTCCTCCTGCGCGGGCTGGGAGCCGGGCCCGGCGCAGCCCGGGGGCAGCGGGGAGACCCCCGGCCCCGGCCCAGCGGGGAGACCCCCGGTACCGGCCCAGCAGGGCGTTCCGGGCCTCTCACGGCCCCTTTGCCGGGCGGCTGCGGTGCCCGCSGGGCTGCAGACCCAGCAGGAGCGGAGCGGCGCGCAGCAGCAGGCAGCGCGCCCGCCTTTCGCTGCCTCYAAGGCAGCACCGGCAGCTCCTCCGCAGCTGCGGGCGCAGGGGGCTCGGGGAGGCGGGCGGAGGGGAGGTCGGTGCGCGGCGGCGGCCGCTAATTGCGACCTCGGCCTCGCTAATGAGCTCGCCGCGCTCCAGTCCGCGCCCCCTCCGCGCCCCCTGCCCGAACGCTGCGGAGGCGGGAGCGCGGCAGCAGAAAGCACCTTTTTTTTTTTTTTTTTTTTTTTTTTCCCCCCTCTTTTTCCTGCAATTCGTTACTGGGTTTCCAATCCACCCCAGCTCCGAGAGGAGAGGTTGGAAAGGCTGCCCGCGACCACTTGCTTCAATCCTCGCAGAGGCAAGAACTGCTAAGCAGCGTTTCACGGAGCGACGGGAGGTGCGTGCGCGGCCGGGGGCCCCGTCGAGCCGCATCGCTCTCCACGGGTCCCCCAGGCCCAGCGAGGGGAGATGCCCCTTGGTCACCCTGCAGCTGCCCAGATGGGGAGAGGGGAAACACACACACGTTAAAAAAAAAAAATAGCAGAAACCTCTATCGAAATGTACAGGCAGCGCGAACGTATTTATACTGGGCAATCTTGCAAGCACCGACATTGTTTAAACAGTTCTCTTCTGCTTTGGACGATATTATCAGTACTTTTACATTATCGTTCTATGGAAAAACATTCTTCTTTTTCCTTCTTTCAAATATTTATTTWAAAAAAAATTAAACTCGACTGCCTGAATGTACTGGCAAGTAAATAAATTCCAGGAACGGTAGAGGAAAGTGGCCACGGCGTTTGGTTGAAACCGAGCGCTTGCCTTCCGAGGGACAAGCGGCTGTAGTCAATAAGACCTGATTATTCATCGATTCACATAATATATAAATATTCTGAGCTCATGAGTGTAATAATTTGCGTCTTTTTTTTTTTTCCTAGAGGAAATTCAGCTATTTTAAGAGTTAATAGTTCTAAATGTGTTGGTTTTCCTGCATTCTCCCCAGAGGTGACTAGTCTGGAAAGGAGGGGGGGTTGGTCTTAGTTTGGGGGTTTCATTGTTTTTGCTTTAATTCTGCTGAAATCAGCCTAAAGCAGCTGACCCGAGCGTGGAGTGATACACCAAGCAACCAAGACCCTCGACACTTAAAGGTCAGGTGAGAGTCGCCAGCAGGTAAGTCTCGGGTCGGCAGCTTGCCCAGCTCCCTCGCTCTCTCAAATTGTTCCCTTCTGCCCACCCAAGTCGCTTCAAGCTGTGTTTATTTAGGGGGCAAAAAAAAAAAAAAAAAATGCCGACCACCCAATTCCCATTCAGTGGGAGACCTGGAGAGCTCTCACCGGTAGCCGGAACCACTTCCCTCCCCAGCCCTGAAAAAAAAAGTAAAGAAAAAATGTAAGAATTACACATATAAACATATCATTGCTAACCGTTTGTGGCACAGGGGGACCAGGGGGCCAGTTATGGGCCTTCGAGAGTGGCTGCCGCACAAGAAATGACCCCCAGCCTGCTTGGTRGGGGGACACGGCCGCACCTCCTCGCCCCAGGCCACTTGAGGGCCCTTGGCCTTCCCGTCGAGAGCCACTCTGACCCCGCTATGGGCGACGAAAGTGGTGGCGCGACCTGAGGATCCCGCAAAGGGGGCCGGACTCGGCCCCACGCGCGACACTCACCCCCATCGGGCCGGAGGGGGCAACTCGGAAAGGGGGCAAGATCGAGGGCGCGCACAGAAAGCGGTGCCAAGGACCCCCCGGCTGGGGCCACAGGGCTCCCCGACGGGTCGGGCCGGGTCCGCAGCCCCCCCGGCCCCGCTCTGCTGTCCCCAGGCCCCCGCTTCGCTGCRGAGGGGAAGGGCGCTGGGGAGGAGGACGCGGGGCTCCCGTAAGCGCCACCTCGGCSGGCACTTCCCAAATCCTTGGGAGCCAGCAGCGACGCCACCTAACCGAGCTTGGAATCGCGTCCAGGGAATTGAGCCCGTCGGTGGCGGCGAGAGAAGAAAGGCCTTTTCGCGTGAAAYTAGCGCGGGTGACACAGGGAGGGCAGCAGGGCTGGGTGCTTGCCCCGTGTCACCTCCAAAGAGGCCTTCCAAGGAAAGGGCCGTCTCGCCGGGCTGCTCGCCCCTCGCCGCTTCCTCGCCCAGCCCGCGCGGGGACGGCGCCGAGCTGCGCGCTGCCCCACGCGCGCGTGGGCTCCGGGCGAGCGCGGGCGCTGCGGCCTCGGGCCGCCCGTGGGGGCCTCCCCTGCGCACAGAGCCGCGCTTAGACGGCGGGGCCGCCCCCCCGCACCGGCGTCGCTATCGTGGCGCTCAATTAGGCTGCGCTTAAGCAAAAACAATGGCTCATTAACCCGCGCCCCGCTCCCCCCGGCCGCTGCGCTGGGAACGGCGACATCGTCTCCCTTGACCCACGTCTCCTTTTCTGTCTCCCTGTCCCCTGAAAAATGATTCCTCGAGCTCTGATTGAATTTTATTCCTTCCTGACCTGGCCCGTTTTTATTGCATGGACACCATCAATCTTGACCTAACGCGACGTTTGTTTATTACTTGGGAAGGGAGCGAATGGCTTT